TGGTCTGTCAAGTTATTTGTGCCTTGGAAACGCCTCTATTCTTTTCCAGAGGGAGAGGCTTTAACCTGCATCTTGTCCTTTCCCCAGTGTGTCCCAGCCTTGGAGAACAGCCGTGCAGCTCTGGGTGCAGCAGGGAAGCAGCAGTGTCACACCAGAGCCCCGGCGCTGGCCCTACCTTCTCGACCCCCTCCTCTGCTCAAGCTGGGAGGTGAAGGAAAAGCAGTCCGAAAGGCTATGCAAGCATGCTATAGCCAGGTTAAAAGTATGGAGGGCGAGGGAGCTATAGCTACGGCAAAGTCACTGTCAGACAGCTCCATCCTGTTAAACAAAAATGCTATATAAACAGGAAGGGTGGAAAAGGATATTGCTAGAGAAAGAGCAGCCTCTCCCTCTTGCTCTCTGCTGTGAGGAATGCAATAGGAAATTCCTTCTCCAGGATTAACAATTGTAAGGAAAACTAGTTAAAAAAGCATGTTGTGTAAAGCACTGGTGAAAAGTCAAGATAATTCCAGCTCCTGCTCTTGCACATGAACATGGACTAGATTTCCCTGCTTAAAACTAAAACAAATGTCAAATATGGGGATGTAAAACTAAGAGTTTGCCTTAAGAATGACTCTTGATAGTGATCTGAGAAATTGCAATAGGATTCCAACCATCTATTTTTAGTTTTTGTAAGAGGGATGTAAAATGGAGACAGAGCTGTAACTCAAGATAGATGAAGTGGAGCAGTTCTGTGCTGGTGAGTGGGGCACCCTGACCCGTTGTGGGATGAGAGGTGAGAGTGTGACCAGTCCCCGGCAGGCACGGGAGCACCTCTCCCAGCGCTGGCGCAGGCTGTGCGGTGACGGTGTGGTCACAGCTGTACTTTGCACTGGGCCACCAACTGAACCCTGCCTGCAAATTGGCACTGTGCAGGAGGCACAAGTTGGGTGTAGCGTAAATCTTGTGTGGTTTTTACGGGAGTTTTGATGATTTGTTAGGCAGTTGATGGTACTCGCAGGTCAAAGGGCACAGCGGGGATGCAGGGGAGGCTTCTAGCCAGATGTCTCCCTGGTGCTGTGCCCTGTGCAGATGCCACCACTTGGCTGGTATTTTCTCAGCCATTTTATTTTACGCCACCAAGCGTGAAGGGCCCAGCCTTTGCACCATGTAGGTCCTAATCCTAAATTTTGCCTAAATGTCTAGCAAAAAAGCAAATGTTGCTGCATTTGCTCTGTAAATCCAAAACGTACTCAACCTCTAGTCCTAGAACATCTGAAGGATCTCTGATGCAAAGAATACAGGCTCAGGCCCCTAATGTGGAAAACCCCCCACTACGTATGAAAAAGGTACAG